CATATGGTTATAGTAGCAAAGCTTCCAAGTGTTCTCTGGATCTCCAAGGATTTTGGTTCATATCCTGGTCTCACGGAAATTGCATATTTTCTCCCAGAATTTGAATTTCTCTTGGATTTCTCCAGGATTTTAAGAGATTTTCACAATTAGGGCTTATGCTAAGCTAAATTTTCCCATTCTTGTGCATTAAATAAGACCAAAAAACAAAAATTGTTGTGTTGCCCTTAAATGGAAAAAATCAAGATTTAGGGTCGGTCGGTCGGTCGGATTTTTTTTTTGTACCTACATCGTCGTCGTTGCACTCGGTTCTCAAAATTATGCCTTCCATTTTACCGATTTTACGTGTGCATCTATGGCCCGATTTTTGTAAAAATACATGTCTGTTTTAGATTTTATGTTCTAAATGTCAATTTCAGAAGTGGTATTTCTCATATTTGTACTTGAGTGAAAGGAAGAAATTTATTAAACAAAAAAAATGCCGACCCTGATTTTGTGAAAAATTTAGGTCGGTCGCGGAGGGCAACACAACATTTTTTTTTTGTCTAAGGCAGACATAAGATTTATTGAACATTCTAAGCAGTAAGAGGTATTAACAGTGGCCTAAACCTGCCCAAGCCTCTTTGTTTTTATATTAAACATGACTTTCACAACTTGGTCCCCCTGATAATAGCCAAATAATCAGACTTCGATAATGAAAGCTCCATAATAATGAAGCTCTATAAAAAGCTAATTAACATACACTGTATATAATGATTATTTATTTTCTTGCCTTGACCATTAAAATACACATACAGTACATAATTCTAACTACAAGATGGCTTCCTATTTTCACTACTGTATAGTCATTTGTTCATCATTGAACCAGTGATGATAAATACATATCACCTTTCTTATTTCAGGTCACGTGGACATTCAGAAAGCCCCAGCAGGCGATCCAAGTCACGAAGCTTCTCTCATTCTAGAAGCAATAGGTAATGAAATTTGTCACCAATTATTGACATGTTATTAAAATCAACTACAGTATCTCAGAACATTTCCAACATTAAACATACTTATAATAATTAATTAATTAATTATTGACAATGTTATTAAAATCAACTATCTCAGAACATTTCCAACATAAAACATACTTATAATAATTAATTAATTAATTATTGACAATGTTATTAAAATCAACTATCTCAGAACATTTCCAACATAAAACATACTTATAATAATTAATTAATAAATTAATTATTGACAATATTATTAAAATCAACTATCTCAGGGTTCAAGTGTTTTTGGAACAATATTGTAGAAGTGGTTGGCGCATCGGTTGTGGTTTGGACTCCCAACCTCGAGGTCGGGGGTTCAAAACTCTCGCTGTGCAAGTCGCTTGTGTCCTTGGGCAAGGCACTTTATCTACGGTTGTCTCTCTCCACCCAGGAGCTGTCTCTTATACACATCTAGATGTGTATAAGAGACAGGGTTTGTATA